AGCAAAATCTTCCAGTCAAATGAGCAGTAATTTGGAATTTGCTGTATTTTATATACTACATAATTGAGGGCTGAATGATTTAAGAATAGGCAAAGTTAATTACTTTTTTAAACCCATTAGCAACTTAGATTGTGCATTAGAGTCCTCATAAGTCCCCCTAACCATGTCAGTCTGTTTGTCCGCCAAAAGGTGGACTTGAGAGGGTATTATAACATGGATAAAAATTCTAAAATTTGTAGATATGTTGAAATTTTAGTGTACGATTTTCACCCCCCTAATACGCATTATTAGCCAAATTCTTTGAAATGTGGTTAAACAACAACGAAACATCGACCTACATAGAAAACTTTCTTCTACCCCTTATAATCCAAGATGACAAATAGAGGCCAAATCAAAAATATAGCAGAACAATATAGCATGTCATAGCATTTCGCGTGATTTAAATAAGTAAAAATAGTTTTATCCACCTCATAATGGAGGGCAGAATGATAAGATGGGAATTAATTTTATTTGCCATTTAAATTGTAAGTTGGAGACCCCTTAAATTCCATATTTTCATCATAGGATAATTCAATGATGATTAAACAAATATTCGGTCCCGTGCTACTTTCTTATATTTGTAATTTGTTCATGTTTCCACAATTTATTTCATATGGATGCACATCCCAAATCTACGTTCCCAACCAATATTCTCTTGGGGGTTAAAAATTCAAGAGAATACAAAATTTTCTTTTCTGACCACACATTAGATGTGAAAGTGGACTTGGGGATACTCCAATGTGGGGACTTTACTTAAATAAATTGCTATGTGGCAATTATCTGTATGATGGTTCCCTACCCCAGGGTGGCATAAATAAAATTTTTTAGCCAAATCAATTGATGAATGTGGTCAATACCAATATATGCCCTACTCTGAAAGTTTCAAATTTTATGCGAAGAGGTTATCTACCCCCTTAGAAACAAAAATGTCAAATAAGGGCCAAAAAATGAAAAAAGTGGCCGGCCAAGACCCCAAAAATAACTTAAATCATAGATGGTTATATAAATATGAAATCGGGTTGTTCCCTTATCCATGAGTTATGATCGATATAAAGACCTGCAAATTGATTTTAGGTATTTTGAATGTTTGGGAAGAATTTCTGGAAGGATATAAAACCTTTTCTTACTAAAAGTCCCATTCGCTCTACTATTTTGCACCTTTTATTTCAATATTGGTATATTACTTATTATTCTCCCAAAGAATTTTGCATTTTGAGCTCTCATTGGACGGATCATTGTCACGCTTTGAAATGAGCCCCATTAAGCTTTTTCGGTCATTTTTGTTTGTTTAAACGTGTTCGCATCTTCCAGCTAACCCACGATGTAGGCCCTGGAGTTGAAAGGTAGATGTCAGTTAACATCCTATTTCGCACTTATTCAATTTTTTTAGTGAAAAATTATTCTTTATTTTGTTCACAAAAAAAAAATTGACAAAAAAAGAATAACAAATTGAAAAAGTCTTCAACTTTTTCGCTGATTTTTTACAGCAAATGTTTTAAGATCCTTCCTTACAAAGTTTGTCAATAGAATGTACTATTACTTTAAAATTCGATTCCATTGAAAATGTTTTTTTGATTTTTGCAATGAGATCTCTTTTTCATGATTTTTCAGCGATTTAGAAAAAGTAATTATCTTTTAACTTTGGTGTGACCGCGTTAAATTATTTCGATATCATCTATTGCGTTTCGCCACCACATAATTCGCTACTACACTTCCATGTAACCCGCCATCAATTTCAGTTCTCAAGAAATCAAGTCAATTAAATAAATTGGTATAAATATTCGAATTCAAAAATAAAATATAAAAAAACACTACAAATGTACATTAGAAAAAAGTAAGTCAAAATGGAAAAAAATCATGCAAAATAAAACATTACTATTGTACATTTGAAAAGTCAAAATGAAAATGTTAATATATCACATTTTTACGCGATTTTTTTGGATATTATCCTTTTCGGAGAGTAGACAACTCCGAATTTGTGTGAATCGTTAAAATTAATCCAGCGGTTCTTAAGTTATAAGCGTAGTAACTAACACAACTTACATTTATATATATAGATTTTGCAATCTAACATGGAGAGGGAAGAGAGATAGACCTAAAGTTACTTTTGAGTATCCTCATAGAATAACTTTCTGAGTCAATGTATGCATATCAGTCCGTCCGCCTGTCCATGTATTTTTGTGAACAAAATCCAGGTCGCATTTAATATCCCATTGATTATATACATCAAATTTGGTAGAAGATATATATGGGAGCTATATCCAAATCTGAAGCAATCTTGATCAAATTGAGCAGAGGTATTTCCGAGCTCTATAAGATTTCTGGGACCAAATATCATTGTTGTCGAATGCATATTACTAATGTGAGGGACTTACACACCATATCGTATGAAGCATATATATGGCTGCTATAACCATATATTAACCGATTTTCACCAAATTTGATGTGTTTGATGATGCTCTAGACTGAATTCGGTTGGATATACTATTTGCACTTATATTGGTACAGGTTATTTGGACTTATATTGTTGCACTATTAACCCGAAATCGGTCGAAAATATATATGGGAGCTATATCCACATCTGAATCAATCTTGATAAAATTTGGCAGAAGTATTCCCGACCTCTATAAGATATCTGGTACCAAATATAATTTTTGTGAAGTGCTTATTACGCATGTGAGGGATATGAACATCAAATCGGATGAAACATATATGTAAAAGCTATAACTATATCAGAACCGATTTTCACTAAATTTGATGTACTTGCGTGTTAACTGAATTTAGTTGGATGTGCCAAAATTCAGGCCATTTGGTGTACAATTTACCCGAACTCGGTTGAAGATATATGGGAGCTATATCTAAATCTGATCCAATCATCACCATTTTCAGTAGGGTTCGTCCTTGAGCCAAACAAATATTGTTTGAAAATGATCATCTCAATCGGGTAATAAATGCGAATTGCATTTTTTGCCACGACCCTCACGAAATTTTGAATGGGGGTTAGGTTAGAATTAAACCAGTTGGTTTAGGAGATATACATTTAGGAGTTCAAATGGAACAACAAATTAAAATGTTTCTTATTTTGCAGACGCTCTATAGGTCGCTATTGGAAACCAATGGACACGGAATTTTTTTTCTTGATCGGCATAAAATTCTATGTCGATTTAGCGATGTCCGTCTGTCTGTCCGTCTGTGGAAATCACTCTTGCTTCGAACGAAATGAAGTAGATTGATAAAATTCTACTCAAATGTATATTATGTCTGCAGGACTTTTGATATTGAAAATGGGTCATGTAGATTCATGTTTTGGTATAGCCCCCATATTACGGTACCTCCCGATATTCGGTATTGTGATGAATTAAGCGACATTATTCGCCGGAATTGTTTCAAATTTGGTATTGGTATTTGAAGTTCGTAATGGACACTACAGCCTATGACAGGAGATTGTCTTCCGATATTCGGTATTTTGATGATTTTAGCGATAGTATTCCTCGGAATTGTTGCAAATTTGGTATTTGAATTTCGTAATGGATACTGCAGCCTAAAGCAGAAAATTGTCTGTGCAGGTCCACATCTTCGTATATCCCCATATAACGGTAAACACCGATATTCGGTATGTTAATGATTTTAGCGACATTATTTACCGGAACTGTTTCAAATTTCGCATTTGAAGTTCGTAATGGATACTACAGCCTGTGACAGAAAATTGTCTATGCAGGTCCAAGTCCTCGTATAGTTCCGATATAACGGTACTGGTATTTTGACGATGCTACATTATTCACCGTTTATAATATGGTAATGGCTTATAACAAACAATGCCTATGTAGGTCCACGTCGTATAGGCCATATCGGGGTCAATATTCGGTATTTTTAAGATTTTAACAAATTTTTTACGGATTTTATTTTTTGAAAATTTTCAAATTCGTTCCAAATGGTGGAAGTTATTCCAAGTTCGGCCCGGCCGAACTTACACCTTTTTTATTTGTTTATGCTGATTTCGTTGACGAATATAGCCAAATATCTTAGACAAGCAAATCATATAGATGAGTCTAAATTTGGAGATACAGAAGGGCCTCTTACTTTTGGAGATGATCGCAAAATATTTAGGTTCAAATGAACCAGAAACATAAACAATTTCCTGATTACACAATTGAAGCCAATCGATACGCCTGAGAAAATTGTTAAGGATTCCTTCCCTGAATTCTATAATTATATTTAGCTGTAAAATGAATCACAACTAACAGCACCATGGAGTGCGTAAATATTGGTAAATGTCCCTGGTTCAAGGGTAGTATCTGGGCAGTGCTCCGTGACATAATTTCAAAGCCGAAATATTCCAAAATGGATTTAGACATAATGGGCTTCTAACATGTTGTAGTGTTGTAGAGTATCACATGGTCGGCCCCGCACGACTATAGCCTTTGCTTACTTGTCTAAATATATATTTTCCTTTTCGCTAACGAAGTAGAGAACATTTGCTACCCACAAAGTAAAAAAAATATTTTTTTCAATAAACTTCTCAATTAGTCACAAATTCTATCACCCGTAGTCATCAAAATATCGAATCTTAAGGTTTCATTATATTTCGGTTTAAATCTGTTTTTCTTCATAGAATAGCTGTAATTTTCCCATTTTGTTGATTATACTCATAACAGATTCTGGATAATTATCTTTACATTGTTTTTCAATCACCATCACATCTGTGATGACAAAAACACATCCACACTTTCTGTATATAACACAACGAAGTTGTGCCAACATGCACCACTATCTGCTCACAACATGCAAATTTAATTATCATTATGATATTTTCATTCTTTTTGTTTCTCCTTCAGATTTTTTCATTATTTTTTTTTTCGCTCAAAACAAACACCAATTTTCATTTCTCTTCCCCTTAATTAACTGCAACCATGTCTACCCAGAATGGAAGACCGTTATGTGAACTACATTGGTGTACTTACTCAGCTTCAAATAGCACTGCAGATAGAAGTCATTGCCCAGTATGGTGTTCAGCAGACCCAATATGCCCTGTGGAAATTCGGTAATTAGAAAAAGTAATAGCACAGCCAACAGCATGCGTGTCGTTCGATCTGTCTGTTTTTCCTTTTCCAGTGTTTTGCTATTTTTACGTGGTTTCGGCTGCGTCGGAGTCGGTTGCGAGGCCTCACCTCCAGCCAACTTGCCATTGATTATGGGCTTCATGCCATTGGCAGCATTGCTCGTAAGCATTTTGCGACGTCTTTTGGCCTCCAGTAGGGCCATAATCAGTCGTATCGAGAGTATGGTGAGGGCAATGCTGGGTATCAGTTTTATGAGAACGCTGTAGATGAGAAACGTTGTGTACTGCAGCGATTTGTTATGTAATGCCAGCTCACTGTGGTACAGACGATAGGCAATTACGTCACGAGAGCCATCATTTACGACTGGTGTGCCGGTAATGTTGTAGGGTGTTGTTGTTGTCGTCGTCGTCATTGTTGTTGTGGTACTGGTTGCATCTGTTGTTGCCAAATAGGATGAATTCATCATATTCAGAAGAATGTCGGCAGCCGAACTATTGTTAAATTGCATGTCTTGTTGTTGGTACGACTGACCAGTTTCCAAGCTAGCTGCATCATCTGGTTTTTTCAGAGATGACGACGACGACGACGATGCATCCATTTGATGGTAATCAATCACGTACTGTGTTAGGGGTGCATAACTTATAACCTTGCCTTTGGCATTTATGGTGTCTCGAAACTCAACTATGGAGGTTACCAAATACATGGAGGGCGATACGACCAGCACACACACGACATACGCCGACGTTATCGTTATGATGGTCGTCCTCATGCCACACCATTGACGATTTTTTTGGGGATAGCCGACTGCTATGTATCGCCACACGGCCAATGTCACGGTCAGCCATATGGATATGGTGTGCAACACTTGCGTAAATATGGAGTGGAACTTTATGAAACAGGCCCAGGAATAGCTAAGTTTTTGTTCGTGCGACAAGTGCTCCCAGAGTATGAACTCGTGCATCGTGTACGGTATGTACTCGAGCATTACGGCCAAATCGGCCACAGCCAGCCCGGTGAGTATGGCATTTGTGGGCGATCGCATCTCTCGCCGTGATAGCACAATGATGTTGAGGGTGTTGGCTGTGGTGCCCAATATGCAGACAATCAACGACATATAGCCATGGACATTTTTGTAGCTGCAATTAAATTAGAAGAAAACAATGGAAAATGCCATCAGAAAGATAACAAAAACAACAACAATAACTGCTACTTCTGAGAAAATTATGTTTTTGCAAAGCAACGAGAGGGAAATCTTAATTAAAAACTAAATATTTCATAGTGTTGTAGAGATGCGAATGTAAGTTTGTATGTATGTTTGGATGTATTTGGAAAAGAAGTAATTATTATACCCTCAGCCATATGGCTACAGAGGGTATATATCATTTGATACGGTCAAAACGTGCCTAGTCGAAATAACGGTTTTAGACCCTAGGTCTCTTTGGACCAAATGCGTTTCAGGACATTTGGAGTCGATCTAGCGATGTCCGTCCGTCCGTCCGTCCGTCTGTCTGTCTGGCTGGTGCGCACGATAACTCTCGAAGGGAGTACCCGATTTGGTCCAAACTTTGTACATCGTAATATTTTTGTCAAACTTAGATCGAGTTCGGAGATGGGCAATATCGGTTCACTCCTTCTGGTACCTCCCCCAAAAGAGGTCGAAATTTCAGAAAAAATATATTTTCTGCACTGAAAGAGAAATGATGATTCGATTTAGCTCAAACTTTGTGAATCCTAATATTTTGTCAGTGCTAGGTCAAGTGCGAAAATGGATAATATTGGTCTATCAAGTACCTCCTCCACAAAGGGTCAAAATTTTGAATAATAACAACTCTTATAAAATGTGAAGTAAGAGTGCGATTGTCTTCAAATTTCACACATCCCAATAATTTTATTAGCGTAATATCTGGTGTGAAGGTGGAATACATCGGTCCACTCCTTCTGGTACCTCCCCCACAAAAGGTCGAAATTTTCCAAAAAAATATATTTTCTGCACAGAAAAAGAAAGGAAGATCCGATTTTGCCCCATCTTTGTAAATCCTAATATTTGTGATAGCGCAAGGTCAGGTGCGAACATGGACAATATCGGTCCACTCCATCAAGTACCTCCCCCACAAAAGGTCGAAATTTGCAAAAAATATATTTTCTGCACAGAAAGAGAAAGGATGATCCGATTTTGCTCGAACTTTTCGAATCCTAATATTTGCGTAAGTGCTAGGTCAGGTGCGAAAATGGACTATATCGGTCCACTCCATCAAGGACCCTCCACCGCAAAGGGTCAAAATTTTGAATAATTATAACTCTTATAAAATGGAACCAAACGTCTTAAAATTTCACACATCCCAATATTTCTATAAACCTAAGATCTGGTGTTAACATGGAATATATCGGTCTACTCCTTCTAGTACCTCCCCCACAAAATGTCGACATTTTGAATACCCATGTGGCTCATAAAATGCCAAATTAACATCCGATTCCATTTAGACTTGGCACATCTGAATATTTCTATCAACACAAGATCTGTTATAAAGATGGTATAGATGGAACTATTTTTTCTGGTACCTACCCCCATACATGGGGTTCAAGATTTTGAAAAACAAACGCTCAAATAAAGCGAAATAAGCATCCAACTCTCTGCAACCTCATGTGACTCTATGTGTCACAATTTTCAATATTAATAAGACAGATAAGTCATAACTTTCGAAACAATTTAGCAATTCTTTACTAATTGCTATGCCCAAATATTTTTCTCAATAAGAAGCCTGATATGAATATGAAATTTGTCGGAATTTATGATTTCGCATAAAATACGAAATGGAACCTGCTGCATAGAGGGTCAAACTAGCCAAAATATATTTAAATAATCTAACGTAGGCTGAGGGTATATATCTGTCGGCAATACCGACAGATACTTTTTAACTTGTTTTCGTATTTTTTGACATAAAATTTATGGTTTACTTTACCAGCTAAATATTATCCGATGACCATCCAAATTGGTAGGCTTCTACCTAGCTAAATTTTTATCTATAAAAATGATGAACTTTTGTGGGGGAGGCACCAGAAGGAGAGGACCGATGCCAATATCCGAACTCGATCTAATTTTGAAAATAATATTATGATGTATCTAGTTTGGATAAAATCGGATACTCTCTTAGACAGACGGACGGACATCCTTAGATCGATTCCAAATACCCTGAAACGGATTGGGTCCAAAACCGTTTTTACAATGAGGAACGTTTTGGCCGTATCAAAGGATATATACCCTCTGATATGGCTCCAGAATTCCGCGTCGATTGGTTTATAATTGTGGCCTCTAGAGCAACAGCAAATCAGGAAAATTTGTCTGTTGTTTGGTCAATTTCAACCAATAAATATTGTGCGTTCATCTTCAAAAACTATAGGGTTCTATTTTGACCCTAACCCTACCATTTTCAATTTCAAATCGAATGAAGCATATGTATGGGAGCTATATCTATCTAATATGGTCCCTCCTTGGGTCAAAATCAGAATAATACATGGACCGACTGATGGACTGACAGACAGATGTCCAGACACCCATAAATCGACTCAAAAAGTGATTTATGAGGATCCTCAGAAATTTTATGGGTATATCCCGTCTCCTTCTCCATGTTATAAACAAATGCACAAAGACATAATACACTGACCACAGTGTACTGTAGGGTATAGATATTTCGATTCATTCTTTCTGGCTACTCCCCCGCGAAAATTCAACATTTATGAACAAAACTTATTAATTTCATATATAACGTAATGAGTATCAGATTCGGTTTAAACTTCGCACATCTTAATATTTGTTATAGAATAAGATTTAGTTCCAAATTCGACTAAATCGGCCCACTATTCTTGTACAGTTGCAAAAAATAGGATGGTTGGTATTGAAAATTAGATGTATCGGTCCACGTTTTGGTATAGCCGCCATATAACGGTACCCCCCGATATTCAGTATTTTGATTATTTTTGCCACATTGTTCCACAAATTGTGTAAAAATTAATTTTTTATTTCGCAATGGCTTCTAGCTCCGGTGGCGGAACTTAGTATATATAGGTTTACGTTTTGGTATAGCCCCTATGTAACGGTACCTCCCGATATTCGGTATTTTGAAGATTTTCGCCACATTTTTTGACGGATTTGTCTAAAAATTTAGTTCTTATTCTTAATGGTTTCTAGCTCTATGTATAAGTCCACGTTTTAGTATAGCCCCCACATAATGGTACCTTCTGATATTCGGTATTTTGGTGATTTTTGTCACATATTTTCAGGGATTTGTCTAAAAATCGGTATTTGTAGTTCATAATGGGTTCTAGCTCCGTTGGCGAAATATTGCATGTATTGGTCTACGTTTTTGTATAGCTACCATATAATGGTACCTCCCGATATTAGACATTTCGATGATCTTTGTCTCATTTTTCACGGATTTGTCTAAAAATTGGTATGTGTAGTTCATAGTGGGTTATAGCCCCGGTAGCGAAACATTGCATAAAATAAGTCCACGTTTTTGTATAGACCTATATAACGGTACCTTCCGATATTCGTTATTTTAATGATTTTTGCCACATTTTTTCAAGAATTTGTTTAAAAATCGGTATTTGTAGGGTATATTGGGTTCTAGCTTGTGTGCCGAAACATTGCATGTATAGGTCCACCTTTTTGTATAGCCCCATATAACGGTACCTCTCAATATTCGTATTTTATTGATTTTTATCACATTTTCCCACGAATTTATCTAAAAATTAGCATTTGGAGGTCATAATGGGTTCTAGCTCGTATGGCAAAACAGTGTATGTATATGTCCACGTTTTGGTATAACACCTATATAAAACGGTACCTTCCGATATTCGGTATTTTGATGATTTTTGCCACATATTTTAACGGATTTGTCTAAAAATTGGTATATGTTGGCCATAATGGGTTCTAGCTCCGGTAGGAGAACATTGAATATTTAATTTTACGTTTTCCTTTAGCGTACATGTAACGATATCCACCGATATTCGGTATTTTTGTAATCATAGCCACATTTACACACAAAATTGTTCCAAATTTGGTATTTAGAAAGATTAGTAGATAAAAATCCTTGAAGTATAAAATTGTCTGTAGAGGTTCCAGTTTTGATATGGCCCCCATATAACGGGCTCACTCACTTTTTTGACAATTTTAACTGTATTATCCAAACAGCCCTACATACTGGTATTTGTAGTTTAAAGTGGAACACATTGGAATTCAGATATTTTTATATAAAAATGTTTTCTTTACTTAATGTTTTTAAATCGTTCAGCCGGTGTAGGATATACCAAACTGTGGTACAGAGTATTATGATTTTGTACATTTGGTTGTAACAGCAATGTGGACATTTTTTTTTGACTCCATTCTCAAGTCCATTTATGTATGTTTAAGTATTTGTTAAATAAGTACTGGTAGCGTTTATTATCAAAATTATATGAAAAACTGTATTGAAATTGGTGGTAATCAGTTTAGATTGGGACATAGCTACCATATATTTCTGCCCGAAATTCGACAGGATTTTTTCTAAGCAAATTCAGTCGTATATGCTAAAATTTAGCTTACAAGTAATCCTATCCCATAGTCACAATAAAGCTCCCAAATAAAGATATTTACCTCAAGATGTCAGGTACAACCTAGAAACACCACTTTTATTACCTAGTCGACCATCCCGACTTTTGACCCTTACAAACTTGTTTCATATGCTTACTTTTTCTTTAAACAAAATTTTCTGATAGTTAATTTTTATGTAACCACAACAAACTAAACTTTCGAACTTTTAACAAGGTTCTCATATCCTTTGTAAAAGCAATTTTGAGTTGTTTAGCAAAAAAAAGTTTATATAATCAGGGAAAATTAAGTGACCAGGGATGTTACAAATACCTATTAATCATTTTTATATGAATGGCGAACATATTTATTCTTTGACTTGTAACGAAATATTAAAGTTATCAAAAATTATTTTTTTTAATTATAAGAAAATTAAAATGAAAATTTCCAGAATGGCAGTGTTACGGCAGAGATAAAATTGTAATTAGATATGAAATCCTTTTTTTGTAAATGAGCTAAGCAGCAAGCCAAAAATTGAAGTACCCCTTAGTCGGTAGGGCTGGTGCTCGTCCCTTGCCGTTTTATGTTAATCACTCAATGATGATGAGGTAGAAAAAAAAATAAAATCATCATAGAATGGGTACTGGCAGGAACTTATAAATATGAGTGAGTGTGCTGTTAATGTTAACAGGATGGAAGTTGTTTGTTAAGGTATGTGTGTAAGTGTGTTTGGATGTTGAATATTTGAGTGTAGGTAATAGAGATGTAATAAGGATGAATGCTTAGCCAGTGTTGCCACAAGTAGGTCATAAAATAAAATTGTATGGGCACAGGGATGAAAAAGGCATATACAGGGTGAGATAAAAAAAACTGAAACCAACTTCAGATTGCTGTCATTTCTGAGCCACTCGTTCGACAGCAGCTAAAATTATTCCAGTGACAGATCATTATATTGTTTACAAGCGTACAAAAGCATATTGGTGAGATTTTTCCAGAAAAAAAGTTATTAGCGATGGAATTCAAGCGTGATGGTGTGATTTCTGTATATTTGGCTGGAAAACCACAAGTGGTTATTGTTAGAGCACTCCAGCATTTAAACGTAAATAAATCTTTGTGTCTCGTACCTTCGCTCGTTACCGTGATACTAGTAGCGTAGCCCGGCGTCAAGGAAGTGGACGGAAGATAACAGCAACATCTGCATAAATGGTTCGAAAAGTAAAGAAGCGACCTGATCGAAACTCGCATCGCTGTGGCCGAAAAATGGTTCGTGAGCTGAACATATCGCAATATTCCATTCGGCAAATATTGAAACATAAAGAAAATATACTCAAAAGAGCTAAAGAGTTTCTTTGCTTGGCCGAAAGTGGTGAACTGACGAATTTGGTTTTCTCCGATGAGAAAACATTCATTGTCCAGCAGTTTTTTAAACAAACAAAATGATCATGTTTACTTGCCAAGAAGGTCAGCTGAAAATGTGTACCACCAGAACTCAAGCGCCGGTCATGGGCCGCCATAACAACCGATGGTCGCTTTCCGATCGTAGTAATCGACAGTGGCATCAGAATAAAAGCCGAATATTATCGCAAAAATATTCTGGAGGGTATATTAAAGCCTTGGGCACGTAAAGATTTTGGCCGCAGACCTTGGACATTTCAACAGAGCTCAGCACCATCGCACTCAGCACGCGCCACCCAAGAATGGTTACAAAATGAAATTCCTCGCTTCATTTCCAGTGCACAATGGCCATCAAAGATCCGGATACCATTCCGTTGGACTATTGTGTCTGGAGTATTTTGGAAAGCAAGGTTGGCACTAAAAAGTTCCAAAGTGTCGATCACCTCAAGTAAGCGCTTCGCCGGGAGTGCGCCAAAATACTGCAGAGCAACATTCGGGCAACGTGTGACGGTTTCATTGGCCGTTTGAAGGCTATAATTCGTGCCAAAAGTGACCAGTTCGAACAAATCTAAACTTATTCTTAAATTTGATCCGACATTTTTTGGTTTTATTCAATAAAATTAAAAAAAACCAGTAAGGAAAGCTCAAAAGTCGGGCGGGGCCGACTATATGATACCCTACACCACTATGCATATTTAGTAGAGCTCTCGTAAAAAGGTTTATACAGGGCATTTCAGAGCTCTATGAGATATTTGTGTATTTATATTTATTTCGTGCATTTTACGAACTATAACTATCTGTGAACCGGGTTTCTCCAAATTTGACGTATTAGCTTCTAGACTGAATTCGGTCTTATGTACGAAAATTCAGGTGATTTGGGCTGATATTGACCATTTAGTGCACATTTAACCCGAAATCGGATGAAGATATATATGGGAGCTATGTCCAAATCTGAACCGATTTCGATAAAATTTGAAACAGCTATTCATGTGCTCCATCTAATACCTGGTACCAAATATCACGGTTGTGGAGTGAATATTACGAATGTAAAGGTCTAAAACACTAAATCAGATGAAACATATATATGGTTGCTATATCTAAATCTGAACCGATTTTCACTAAATTTGATATACTTGCTTCTAGGCTGAATTTGGTCCGATGTACTAAAATTCAGTCCATTTGGACTTATATCGGCCATTTGGTGCACAATTAACCCGAAATCGGATGAAGATATATATGGGAGCTATATCCAAATCTGAACCGATTTCGATAAAATTACAAATAGTTATTTCTGGGCTGTATCTTATATCTGGTACCAAATATCATTTTTGTGGAGTGCATATTACGAATGTGAGAGGCTTAAACACCAAATCGGATAAAACATATATATGGGAGCTATAGCTGTCTCTGAACCGATTTTCTCCAAATTTGTTGTATTTGCTTTAAGGCTAATCTCTGTCACATATGCCAAAATTCGGGCCATTTGGGCTGATATTGGCCATTTGGTGGTCAATTAACCCGAAATCGGATGAAGATATATATGGGAGCTATATCCAAATCTGAACCGATTTCGATAAAACTTAAAACAGCTATTTCTGTGCTCCATCTAATACCTGCTACCAAATATCACGGTTGTGGAGTGCATAGTAGGAATGTGAGGGACTTCAAGATCAAATCGGATGAAAGATATATATGGGAGCTATAGCTATATCTGAACCGATTTTCTCCAAATTTGATATACTTGCTTCTAGGCCGAACTCGGTTGGGTGTGCCAAAATTCAGGTAATTTGGACTGATAGTGGACATTTGGTGCACATTTAACCCGAAATCGGATGAAGATATATATGGCAGCTATATCTAAATTTGATCCGATTCTCACCAAATTCAATAGGGTTCGTCCTTGGGCCAAAAAAATATTGTTTGGAAAATTTCATCTCAATCGGATAATAAATGCGACCTGCATTTTGTTCACAAGAATACATGGACAGACGGACGGACGGACGGACGGACGGACGGACGGACGGACAGACGGACTGACATGCATAAATCGACTCAAAAAGTGATTCTATGAAGGTTCTCAAAAGTAACTATGGGTCTGTCTCGTTTCCTTCTCCATGTTACAAACAAATGCACAAAGACATAATACCCTTACCACTATGTGGTGTAGGGTATAAAAATTGTAAAAATCAGGGCGTTTGACTTTGTTGCAGTTTTTTTTTATCTCACCCTGTATATCGAAAAATGTATAACGCAGTTTAGGGTATCATATAATCTGTCCCACTCGATTTTTGTTCTTTAATTACGGGTTTCTAACTAGTTTTCTCTCCCAAAACTAAACACATTAAATTTACTTAGTGATTTTCAAGTTCTGGCAACACTGGCAAGCACTTGCTTTTACGTCAGATAAAATTTTATTTATTTAACTAAATTGAATAGAGTAAAAGAGGAATGCATGTACATACATACGCTTAGAACTTACCTTGTGTGAAAGTTATTTAACTCTTCGCCGCAATAATGCGGTGCTGTTTCATTAACCGTCATTATTGCTTACCGAACAAGGAAATTATTTGCGAACTTTTAATTGATGTAAAGCATAGAATGGAGATTTGATCTAGAATGAGAGAAATTAAAACGTAATTAAATTTAAAATTTTGCAATAAAACATAACTCAGAGATAATTTAATTGTACAAGATAATTGCTTATCTATTTAATATTTATACGCCATATTGTGATATATAATGTACAGAAGGAAAGGAAATATATATATGATCTTCATAGAATTACATTATGGGTCAAGTTATGCATGTCCGTCAGTCCATGTATTATTGTAAACAAAGTACAGGTCGTATTTATTGTCCCACCGATATGAAATTTTCGACAAATGTTTCGCCGAAGGACGAGAATGAGAATCGGTTTAAAAATTGTAATATGGCTAACAT